TGATTTTGTGCTAATAAACAGAGGAAATTTCACCAAGATAGGAAAATCCAGGGGAGGAGAAGAGAAAGGAAAGGAAAAGCTTAGCCAAAATGGGTAAAAACCATTAGGGTTTCTTGGGAAATGATGATTTCCAGCGCCTATAAAATGAGGCCTCTTCTACCCAACAAAAACAACCCACGCCTGGAGAGCAAGTTTTCTCTCTAACTTGCAAAAACCCAGCAGTCTCGTGCACTGTTCACCATCTTCTCCATTCTTCTCTTCTGGCAAACAGAGTATCTGTCAAGCTGCCAGAAGAACATTGTTCTTCATTTCTCTCTTCCTAGCCAAATCTCCTACAAAATCTCTCTTTTCTCACATTAACACTTCCCTTTTTCCCTATAAGAAAGCCTAAATTTCCTCTTAGTGCTAAACTCATGTTGATTTTGCTTCCATGTCACATGCCTCTCATGCCAAGCTTAAAATTTTATCTGTAAGCATGTATAAATTATCTGTAAGCTGCCATTATTTTGGTTGGTGAAGGTAACCAAATTACTTCCTAAGGCTCTACTGCCCTTTCGATGTATTTTGGGGCTTAATTTTCGAACTCAGGCAAAAGGAACAATTTCATCAGTCTGCCCTTTTTACAGCAGCCCAGCCCATTTACAGCTGCTGGAGGAAAAAGTCCCCTACAGAGGTTTACACAAATATTAATTAGATGCTTAGTATTTTTGAACCTCTACCCACATGGTTGCATTATAATGATATGTTTAAAAGTTGTTAGGTTATCTTTCAAAGTCTCCCCGAATCTGAAAATCATTATACAGCCAAAAAACAATTCAAATAAATAAAAAGGTGTAATTTAAAGAAAGCCTATCCAACATGCGTTGGCCCATGAGGCCCATTAAGTCAAAAGCGTTTATAGCCCAAAAACGTTTATGAACACTCACTCACTTTCTTCCAGTTTCTATTTGCTCGGTTCTTCAGTTCACTCTCTCTCTCTCTTTCTCTCTCTTTCATGGTACACGTGTCAAGCAGGGAAGTCTTATTAGAAAACTAAAACAGGTATAAATACCCACCAGCCAACGACCTCTCTGTCACTCTCATCCTCCTCGATTTCGCCGTCTCTCACTCTCCCTCTCTTCCTGCAATTTGATCTCTCCAGGAACCCATCAATGGCCGCCATCTCAGGAGCTTCTTCGATCTCCCTCCGCTCTTCTCCGCCTCGCTCTCATCAAAATCTCGTAATCCCAGTCTATTGTCATCATTTACCATTTCTCTGCTTCATTTTTTTCCTTTTGAATATTTGTATATAATTTAATTGCCAGTGATTTTTAATTTTAGATAGAATTATTGAATTTGGTGCCATTTATTTTTATTTTTTATTGTCATTTGCCTTACTTTTTACTGGTTGGTTGCTGATAAAATTCAGTGATGTTACCTAATGCTACTTTTGAGATTTTACAAGAATTTGGATAATTTATTTTTTTTCTTATTGTACCCATCTATTCATCTATTGCGTTACTAATTTCACTGGGATTTAGGTCTTGTATGGTTTTCTTTGGGGGGGAGGGGGGGTTGTGTTTGAAACAAACAACTTATTGAACTCTATTGGTATGCTCTCTTAGATTTGAATATGAACTGAAGCACTCATGGTTGAACAGGCATTGTCCAGGACTAATGGTTTGAGGTCAATTTCACTTTCTGATCACGGAAGAAATTCCCTTTCTTTCGGGTTGCAGCAACGTTCAGTACACCTTTCTGTTTCCTGCGCTGTATGTATTTTTATATCATAAGCTGAGAGCCTTTCTTTGTTTCATTTATCCACAAGTCTCAAATCTTGTAAAAACTAAATGCCTAATAATATATGGATAACCATCGTTAATGTTAAATGTCCTTGAGCAGGCCAAGCCAGAAACAGTGGAAAAGGTGTGTACGATAGTAAGAAAGCAACTTGCATTACCAGATGACTCTGCAGTTACCGGCGAGTCAAAATTTGCAGCTCTTGGAGCTGATTCTCTTGATACGGTAAATTCAATATTTGTTAAGATGCTACTTGCCATTTTCTTTATCCTGCATTGTTTGTCTTCCTATAAGCATGCGGCTTTTGTTTGCTAGAGATGGGGCATTGATTGGTACATTATATTGGTTCATTTGTCTTCCCTTGGATTTCTTGTTAGCAGGAGATATATTTTATGAAATAGAAAAACTGATACGGAAACGGATTGAAAAGTGAAGATATAATGTTTGTTGTTTGATTTGATCCATAAAGAGTGAAGAAATAGGAACTGTTGGGATGTTTGTTGGTACCAGGCTACCAGCTTTTGTAATTCTCTTGCGTTCAAGTTTCAACAATGTTAGTGGCTAGAATTCATTTTGGTTTTGTCTATCCATGTTAAGTGTTTCAGTTGGTGTAGTTGTTATTAAGTTTAATAACTTCTGATTTATGTTGTCATGTTGATGTAAAACGGCATGCAGGTTGAGATTGTGATGGGACTTGAGGAGGAATTTGGTATTAGCGTGGAAGAGGATAGTGCTCAGAGCATTGCAACAGTGCAGGACGCTGCCGATCTTATTGAGAAGCTCATTGAGAAAAACAAGGCTTAGAGACAGTAATCAAAGCAAGAGTCCGCGTATTCACTTCTTAGCCTGCTTTAGACTAGTTGAGTTGCTAAATATGAAATTATGAATTTACCAAGTTGCGTTTGTTTTTTTTTTCTTTTTCCATTGTATTTTTCTAGACGCCTATTTTAAAAGGTTTTGTTTCCTCCAGCAAATTTAATGTTGTTTCCATGAACTAGTCTTGGAAAGAAAAAAATGCAACAGCTAATTACTGTAATCCCAGTATTACAGCCTCATCGTAAATTTTTGCCGAAATATGAAGATGATAAAACAATTTAGATGATTATATGCTGTCGTAAGTTGATTACAATTACTAGTTCTCATTGTAAAATACAGAACTTAGAATACATCTGACCAACTAATTTATTTTGAAAATAAAAAAGACCAGTTAAGTTCGTTTCTTTACAGGCATGCATACATTCAAAATGTCGATGCCTCAACATATATAAACCTGCATACTCAAGGCAGTGATGGCATAAGTCTTAGAAATACAATTTTCATTATTTTTTACTGCAAAAGCAACCCAAGATGCAATATGACAAAAGATTCATTCAAGATACAGTATGAGAAAAGATTCATTCAAGATACAGTATTGACTTCTATATACAGCGAGTGTGGTGACCAAATAATCTTGTGATCAAGTGTTACTGCATCACTCCCAATCAGCATCAAAGAAACCCGCATCTTTCATCTCTGAATAATACACATTCTCCAAGTGTAGATCTTCCTCCTGTTTTCATCCAAAGTACAATTACCAATTGGAAAAATAAAACAAAATAATACTACCACTATCTTAAAAAGAAAAACACAAAGTCACAAATACCTGGAAGAAGTCTGCCAGAAATGTTACATACAAAAGAGGAAGATAAAGGGCATGATAACAGACAACAGTGGCACCATAGAGCCTGCAAATAAAAATTTGGGAAATATTTAAAGCAGTTCTTTAATATTTGAATAAAATAATGGTCAAATGGAAACTTCAGATCAAAGACCAATCTACACACATACCAGAACCCAAATCCAGCCCCATTTCCAGTAAGCCCGCAAGCAAACAGGGCTAGTATGTTCAACATAAACATGACAGCGGTGTACTTGTAGAATGCAGGTCTTGCTGTAGAACAAGAACAAAGACATCAAAAGTTTGTTCTATTAGACAGCTATGAAATTGATGTAAACATCATATGAACTTACCTGGTAACCTTTCTCTCCACTTGGAATGGTACATGAACAATATGAAGCCATAAATTGCAGTAATCACTAGCCTGTGGACAACCCACAAGTCCCACTTCATCCGATCTGTACGATCTTTGTTGTCAACGAATAATGGAATTCCAAATCCAAATAGATAGATTGCCTGGAATAGACACAATATGACATTATAAGTCCATTATGTACCATGATAATGCTTCAAGTGAGAACAAAATAAGCAGGTGAAAGGAATTAGCAAATTGCATTGGGTCAACCACCCTACAACTACAAGTTGGGAGCTATGAGTTTTGGCATATGCCACTAGCAGAAAAGGAGCGAGAATAAAAGTCCATTGTACCTCCACAGTCTCATATTCATATTCTAGAAGTAACTGACAAGCATAGCTAGCTCAGAATGGTGAAAATCCATTTTGAGAAAAGCAAGACTGATACCTTGAGAAGTATATCCAAAACAACAAGGACTCCTGAGACAACGAAAGTCCGTGTCAAAGCTTCCAGTCCACTTGCATAATTCCCTTGGATCAAAAATGCCAGCAAGCTTACTTCCAAAAATAGCATCCCGGAGGTTGTGAACAAAGATAAGAAATTCCAGGCTAGTTCTTTTCCAGGAGTGCACTCCCATGCCTGCGCCAAAGAAGTGACAATTCAACCGGATCTTAGCAAAATTGTCAAGAAATGCCTCACAAGGAGAAGTTCAGACATAAACTACGAATTCTAATACACAAAACTTGAATAACCATTATTCCCCACCTCATATACAGCTACCAAAACAATTCAAAATACCCAAACAGCAATCATTTTCATACTATTCAGAGTAATTTATGTTATAACAATTTACCTTTGAAAAGCACACGAAATTTCCATAACCAAATATCCATCACACTTTATTGCAGCAATTATAACCAAAGGATCGTTAAGAAAATCCAAAACAATTATCACAGGAACGGTCTAAATAACCTAGAACCTTAAATTTTAGCTACAACCATTCTACTATTCAACTTAAAGGTTCAAGGTAAAATGAAGGATCAAGGCAAAGCTACAAACTTCAAGAGGGGAAAAGAGCCACGAACCTGTAAACAGCACCAAGCAAGATTGAGCAAGCTAACAAGCCAAAGGCACCCATAGTACGCGATCATAATATACGACCGGCCATGAGAGAGCTTCGAGAAGCTTTTCCTTGCTTGATAGGCCAAGTACAGGACGAAAAGAAGCGAGGGTACAATTAGAGCGATATTGTGAAAAGCCCCATGGCACTCACCAAGCCAGCTGTAGAATCGGGAACCCGAAGCCCCTTCGCCTAGAGTTGAATTTGAGCCCGGGGAAAGTGAAATTGGAAGTCCAGGTTGTGAGGGAGCCTCTTGGAGAGCTCGCATTTTTTAATTCTGGGACAAAACAACCCTAATTTCAGTGACCCTAAGAGCGATTTGGGGGTTCAACTCGAAAACCCTAACCCTAGATAATGGGTGTGGTGGAAAAGGGGGCTCCTTTATGCACTTGGGTGTACAAGGAAATAGCAGAGTCCACTTCTTCACCTGCTTCTTTACGATTGGTCAGAAGCGATGACTGGAGGTTTGGGACGTAAAGATTGGCGGGTTTAGGAACAAGCAGC